ATGTATATTAAATATATGAATGTGTATAATAAAAATCTTACATTTATTTCCGTTATCTGGTACCTGTAACACAAGTTCTTTACGAACTTATCACGGGACCAGTTAACGTGGCGTTATCGTTAGTAAATATTTATTTATTTATTAAAATACAAGTTTTTTTATACTCCAGAAAAGGGGTTTTAATAATATTATATTTGTATATTTCATGTGATCTCATTTAAAAAAACACAAGCAGTATAAGTCCATTAGCAGATCTAGGTGTGTTTCCTATTGTACATAAGGCGGTTTTATATTACTTCCTTATGATAAATAGTCAAGACAATGGACGAACAATGATCATCTGTATGGTTTACGTCCTCGATCTGGTATTCTTTGTTCAATTACCGAACAAAAGATTTAATGGAAAGGAAAAAGTAAACAATAACTTAAGTAAAATATGTATGTACGGCAGAATTATGCAGGAGTGCGGAGTCCTATGGCTGCGGCAAAAGTTCGAATGGTTTCGAAATCACAATAAATCGTACGATCAACAAAATCTGTATATTTTAGAAACGTTATTGGACAACTGAATTTGTTTTACGACATTGTTTTTTTTAAGTTGATGTTAAGTGGTTACTGGAGCCCACAGACATCTACAACGTAAATGCGCCAACCACCTTGAGATATAAGTTCTAAGGTCTCAGTATAGTTACAACGGCTGCCCCACCCTTCAAACCGAAACGCATTACTGCTTGACGGCAGAAATAGGCGGGGTGGTGGTACCTACCCGTGCGGACTCACAAGAGGTCCTGCCACCAGTAAAAACCTGCCGCTGCAGGCAAACGAGCTTATGGACAACCTGATGATAAGATGTTAGCATCGCTCATAGAAGTCAGCGCTGCCAAGGGCCGCTGCCTATTGCTGAATAAACTTCGCGAATATCATTTGCACGGAGGAAAGTTCATTCGAAAACCGAATAGTACGTGGCAAAAATCTCTAGATGTCACTGTGGATCAACGAAGTGGGTTTAGCTATGGACGAACCGCCGTGATGTCGGGCGGTTCGGTGGTAAAAACAAGAGGACGGGTATGGGAAATTGAAAACAAAATACTACCTCTTTCGAAGCTGCTTTAATCTTAGTCTTAGGACACAAGTTTGGTGTTATTAAATTTATTAGCTTTAGACATATGTTTTTGCTGCACCAGTCTCAAGTTTTTCATTCGGAGCATCGTAAAAAAACCCTTCTTAAACGAAGAAAATATAGTTTCTAAATATAACGTATTTTTAGAAAGCCTTGTGAACATTGTAATCATAATTTTGAAGTGAAACTTCCTTATCGGCGTTGGAAAAAAATTTACCGTCACATTTTTCGGTTACGCGTCACATTTTTCCGTTACGCGCCATCTTTTAATTAACGGCTGTATGTTCTGAAGTATGGATGCGCATTTGAGAAACCGACCTCATGTCTCAAGGTGGGTCACGGAATACATTTTGTAATTGCAATAATCCCAGGTAACCCACTTAATATCACGTGGACCGTGCTATTATTGTTATTACGTAAAATAATAGGAAGAAAAGTACCAGGGTATTATGATATCAAAGAGATGTATTATTATAACTTTACTCTGACGTACAGCCTTCTTTATTAATTAACGGCTGTATGTTCTGAAGTATGGATTCCGATTTGAGAAATTGACCTCATGTCTCCAGGTGGATTACGGAAATCATTTTGTAATTCCAATAATCTCAGGGAGCCCACTTAATAATATCACGTGGACCGTGCTATTTATTACTGTTATTACGTAAAATAATAGGAAGAAAAGTACCAGGGTATTATGATAGCAAAGAGATTTATTAATAATTAACGGCGGTATGTTCTGAAGCATGGTTTCGGATTTGAGAAATCGACCTCATGTCTCAAGGTGGGTCAAACTTCACGAACCTCAGGAACCCCATTTAACACCACGTGGACCGTGCTATTATTATTAATTTATAGGAAGAAAAGTACCAGGGTATTATGATATCAAAGAGATGTATTATTAAAATGCTGTAATAATCTTAGTAGCAAAAAGGTAAAGTGAAATAATTGTATTATTTGTATTCATGTCTATGATAATAAAATCCTTTTGTTTAAACTTTATCTAATTTAACTTTATTTAACCAATTTCTAGAAAGTTGCATGTAGATCATTTTTCGAAAAATAAGGCCATAAACAAGTTTCACTTCTTACGTGTGTACACTAGTACACGCACACATTTTTTTTGTTATAGTTATGTTCTTATTTATCGCGACAATATAGTGTTTTGATTTCAACTGCTGTTTTATAAGCAACTAGCTGTACTCGTCCGCTTTGCTGGAAATTTAAAATTAACATTATTATTTCTCACCCCCACAAAGATTCTCATAATTAACGCCCCCGCAACTGGTGTAGGGAGTCCAAAACTCATATAAATGTTAACCTATCCAATAAGTACATGTATGTAAGTGTTCTAAATGGATACCAAGTTTCAAGTCAATCAGATGCATGGTTCAGTAGTTATAACGGAACATCCATAATAATAATAAATAAATATTTACTAACAATCACGCCACGTTAACTGGTCCAGTGATGAGTTCGTAAAGAACTTGTGTTACCAGATAACGGAAATAAATGTAAGATTTTTTATTATACACATACATATATTTAATATGCATCCATAACCCTGGAAAAGACATTTATATTTACCATACAAATATCTTCCCTTGGCGGGATTCGAACCCGCGACCCCCTTGTGTTATGACCATGTCACTTACCACTACACCAGACGGCCGTTAAAACCACTGTAGATTTATATATTAGTATAGGTGAAATATATTTAATCTCATCTTGCCAAAGTCTGATCTTGCAAGACAAACACTCGCAGGACTGTACGAATTGTAATAAGATAATTAAGTTTTTCCGTTACCTAACTTTGTCGTTTATCAACAACATAATTGCTTCAATTACGTTTCGATTGCGTAACAATTTTTTATTACAATTATTGTCACGAAGTGAGAAAGAAATTTAATCAACGACGAATCAAGGTTCCTTTCTTTGAACTAAGATGACTTATATTTGAAAATTTTTTCATAACTCGAGAATTTTATACGTGAATGATTGTATTTATATTCCTAGATTATTCTTAGAACAAATTGAGAAAGATATGATTGACAATTTTTTTATAAATTATTATACAAGCCAAAAATATATCTAGTCTTGAAAATTCTCCATGCGTTTCTAAAAAAATAATGGTTAAATTTAAGGAAAACCTTGTGAAAAAATATTTGTGTGAAAGTATGAAGCGTACAAAAAGTAAAAGCTTTGACGAGCTTCCTGTTAATGTCAATTTATGTCGAAAAATTTGTTATGTATCAAGTTTTAATTGGGAATTCTAGTTATTTTCCGAAAGGTGATTTTAATTGTGTTATTTATGAACAAACCCAACCAACCCAAAACCCAACCCAAAACCATAATCTCATAATTTGGTTACCAGTAGAAGCATATTGTTTCCATAAGGTTTGTAATTACAAACCGCTCGTTAATATGTTTGAAGTAAAGCCCAATATGGAAAACCATGTTTTTGTTCACATTTTACAAGAGAAATTTTAAAGGTCAAAGTAACGTGTGATGGTCGGTTTGTGAGCACTTTAGATTTTGGATCGTTATCCTGAGCATTTCTTGAAGCTAGATAGCGGTATGAGATATCGATTACATCATGATTGTGTATGATAGTATGCCGAGATCGTCGTCTGCTCATCGCCGTTAGTAATCATGATAGTAATTTTTTTTATTGCCCTTGTAGGAGACGATCATACGGCCCACCTGATGGTGAGTGGTTACCGTCGCCCATGGACTTCAGCAATGCCAGGGGCAGAGCCAAGCCGCTGCCTACACTTACTGAACCTCGCCAAAGGCAGAGGATCTTAAATTGATAAAACGTCCAGAGCTAGTCCACAAGATGTCCACCATGTGGGACATTATTGTTTGGAAAGCTGTTCCAGTGTACAGATTGATAGGGAAAAACTTCAGCCGAAACGATAAGGTCCCGCTGTATTATAATAGTACAGAAAGCATTAATTTTGAACACGACGAGTATGTAGAGATAGTTTTACAGTTCGGAGCCCAACCACTGTCGTATTCTGATTTTTAAATTGTAACCTTAATTTTTTCATAGTATAATGAATGATATTGATTATGTTTTGTTGCGTAGCCAAATGAAAGAACTCACGACCCACATGGTGTAAACGGGCTACTTGATAGTTCCGCCTTGAGGTCTGAAGTCGACGAAGTTTTAATAGTATTGCATTACGGCTGCCCCACCCTGCAAACCGCAACGCATAATTGGCAGAAACAGGCACAATATGAGGCACCTACTCGTGCGTACTTATTATAAAATATGCTCTAACCAGTATTTACAGTAAAGATTATTAATAATAACATTGAAACAAATCTAAATATGAACAGCTTAAGATTTATACAAATCCTTTTTCGTTATTGCATTCTTATATAAATATTTATAAGAAACCTAAAGTACACAAGGAGAACTCGTCTACTTCTGTTAATATACAACAGCGTGCTGTTTTAGTGAGTTTTCTTTCAAAAACAAACGTTTTTGCAATAAAATTTGTTTTCGTAATCATTGTAATGGTAAAAAATCATAAAACCCAGCAAAAGATGTTTACGCAAAGATGAAATAATTCATTACCGGAAAACAAATGAAAATTCAGCAGCTTGTAAATAAACGTAGCCGTATTTCGACGTTGTTTTGTATAATATTTAATGCTAAATCAAGACTCGCGATGTCTGTTTTTAAGGGTAATGTATTTTTTTTGTAAGATTTTTTTATTGTATACCTCAGGTAAATATTGTCAACGATCATAATGCGTAGTAGTAAGAACATGAATACAACTTCAAACCGTCGCTTCAGAGCTGATAAAATGAACCCGTGCGATGGGCGGAACGTTGCATCGATTCACTGAAATTGCATCGCAAATGGACTCACCTGACTACAAAACGCGAAGATAACCGACAGTTACAGGTCTACGAAAGCGCTGCTTCAGACGATTCGTATAACAGTCTTAACACACAACACGTTTCTATCACTGTATCAGTTCTTATCAATTTGTATTTTAGGATAATTAGCAATGTTTGTTTGGTGAGGAAACCGAGCTCCAACGTGGTTCACGTCCGAGCGTCTGCGAGTGACTGGGCGGCGCGCACCCGTCCATACCTATATATATATGAGTACGTGGCCGCCCGCCCTCCGCGCGTTTTTCATACATGCAAAAATATCGAGGAATTCAGCACCTAATTCTTGCTGTCGCTGCCTTTACAGACACAATGAGAGCGTTGATCTTTGATCCTGCATCGAAGATTGACCAAATTTTTTCAATCGTTCTGTCGTGGTCTCAAAATAAGCATCTAAGGCTTTAATAGTACCTTTTATGGAGTAAATGAGCTGAATAATGAAAAAATAATAATAATAAACTCATATAAAAATAATATAACATACTATAACCCTATGGTAAGAATGGTCAGGCAGTATAATGATTTGACTAAATGTCACGGTGACCTTGATATTTTTGAACCTGGACTCAGGGGATTTGTCAGATGTGTGAAGGATATCCTATTTAACAATTGCTAGTTATCAATATTAATAATTTCAATTGTTTTCAATAGCCAAAGCTATGTACATTAATATGAATTTGCTGAGTGCACATACTATTTAGATTGCAATCCAGATTAGATCTAGGTACTACTTGTACGATTTAGCTAATATGTACTGTAATGATTGCAATTTGTTTTGTACATAAAAAAAAAAGTGATTGTTATTTTAAATATTAAAAAGTAGCAGATAATTCACAATGATACTGATAAGCTTTATTATTGCTAGTTTCAAGGCTGTATCAGATAGATGCAGACCGTTATAAGATAAATCAATCTTCGAATCAAACAGAAACTGTTTAATGCGCATTAAAATTACTATTATTTTTATCGACCAGATCATAACTATCGTATTAATGCCATCATTGAAAGTCACGATGTTTCTCAGAGATCATTAAAGATAACAAACAGGACTAGCTTACAAGAAACAGCCAACGAAGCATGAAATACAGCTGTTGTAACGTTTCCGATCGATTTGTGGATTTACATTATCTTAACAAAATCTAAACAAAAAGAATTGAGATCAAGGATGCAACAAATGCCCACCGAATACTGAACAACGATCTCTTTACGCTTTTTATTGTTATTGGCAGTATTGCATCTCATGATGTGTTGACGATAAAAACGATTCGAGTCAACGATTTCATATCTGTTATGTTGATTGGAAAACAGTTATTCTTAATAAAATCTAATTTATTTAACCTTCGAGTCATTCTTGGAGTTTTAAATAAACGTAACTTCATCGTAGGGCTATCCGTTGTATGTTTTATGCAATCGTTTATATCAGTGGCCTTCGTCGTCTAAAAGAAAACCTTCATGCTCACAATTTGAAATATGGCTTGCTCTTCTTTAGTAACTTGTTATAGCAATAAAGACAACGACACGTTAGTCACACAGGCAATGCTTTGTCCTTAGATTTGAATTATTGAAATATGAAACCTGACTAGCAATTTTTATAGTGACGATCTATCTGATGTAATTAGGTTACCGGGAGCCATAGGCATACTACTACCAGTAAATTGGAGTTGAAATAATAGTTTTGTTATGGGCATGCATTAGATGTTAATAGGACTAGTAGTTTAGTTTTGAAATAGTTTCCGTTATTTATGTAATTCTTGAAAAACCCATTCAGCTAAATTTTAGGTCATGTTGACATTTCTAAATTCTGTCAAAGGTGTTCTGTACGTTTCACTTTATTTCTACGTTGCGTACGTAAAAATAGGTTAATATCCAAGTAGGTTTATTAATAAACGTTATAATATAAAATGTAATATAGAAATAGATTATACGACCAATTAATACTCTTCCAACAGCACAAACCACTTAGCTGTACGACGATTAAACGTGCTGAATTATAAATCATATGTATCATGGATTTTAACGTAGGTTTTATTAATGCTGACATTAATAACTTAATGTGGAAATATTGAAAAGTACATTTTTTATTGTCATTTTAGGCAGACGAGCATACGGCCAGTTTTTTTTTCCTACCTAAGCTGAGAGCCTTGAGAGGCTATTTGAGCGTAACCTTAACTAGTAGGTGAGCTCACGGGGTTCAAAACTGACGACGTTGCTAGCACGAACTCTAGCAAGAGCCGTGCTTCGCAGAATCTACCACCGGACCGGAAACGCGACCCACTGAGGAAATCCGGCGACAAACTCAGACACACTCGACGAGAACGATGACCGGTACGGCCAGCAATGTCAGATGAACAGCCAAGGGGCTCTCGGATCTATCTGCCTACATAGTATGTAAAGAGTGGATTGTTCATATCCGGATTTATGTCGATTCTCTTTTCACATTTCTGTCACAGAATTACACAGGATGTTTATAACACAAATATACAGCGCCGTTCATAATTAAGACGGAGATTGGTTTCCTTTTAAATTGAACACGGTGAAAATCGATTTGTTTTATAAGAAGTGTTGTAATAGATGATGGGAACGGTTGTTTTCGCGTTTGAGCTATTGAATATACTACTTATAATACTTCTTAATTGAAAATGCTTTTTTCATTCATCTCGACGAGTAGGCGATATGTTACCGCATATCAGAGACAGCAATGTGATTGGCAGCTAGACCACACAGCGATCTGGACGCTCACACGTAGTGGTTCGCAGCAAAAATATGTAGTACTGTAGTCCAAATGCTTCCTTTGTGGACATCTATAGGGCTTAATGTTCCAACACGGGAAGTCCACTGCACTTTTTGCTACGGTTAAAAATGCATTTTGGATCAAAGGCCGCAATGGTTGTTAACAAAAATACTCTGAGATTCCGACTTATTTCAGTCTTCGATGCAGTGCCGTGAGCTCCGAAATAGGAGCGGAAAATGATTTCTTATTTCAGCTCATCACGAAATTTTCAGCACACGAAATCAATCATAAAAAACTTTAAGATGATATATGTTACTAAAAATGAAATCAACTAATAATAGAGTAAACAAAACCAGCTCCATAACTTCTAATGCTTATAAATTATTCAAGTGATGTGTGTTTACACTACAGCATATTGCATTAATTTGGGAAATTCTTAGTGGCTTGGGTGGCGTAATCTAATTTTTTTTTTATTGCTTTTGTAGGCAGACGAGCATACGACCCATCTGATGGTGAGTGGTTAGCGTCGCCCATGGACTTCAGCAATGCCAGGGGCAGAGCCAAGCCGCTGCCTACCGAGCCAAGCCGCTGCCTACCGAGCCATGCCGCTGTCTACCGAAAATTTATAAAACACAATGAGAAATCGTAAATATAATGCTGTTAAATGTATGATTTTGACATCTACAACGTAAATGCGCCATCCACCTTGAGATATAAGTTCAATGAATATAAGCATGTGAATCCCATGGTCATTGACGGCATATATCGAACGAATAATAATTGAACTGAAGTCCTTGTTTGTTAGGACCTAGTCATACATATAATGTACATTTACAGATCGCAGCTAAATTACGAATGCATTGTAACTAGTCAGGTCATAAGTGTTGTCACACAGTAAAAACTTTTCTTTTAGAATGCTGGCCACAAAAAAGTTTATTGAATTCGAATTTCAAATTGTTCATAAAAATAAAAATGTATACTTTTAGAATTTTACTCATTTTTAAATATGGAGTGGACGCTTAAAGAAGACCGTGTTGCAGTTATTGCGTTGCATCGTTGCGGTTGCGCGCCAATTCAAATTTTCAACATAGTGAAAAATTTTAATATAACCAAAAGATTCGTTTATCGTACCATCAAACGATACAATGAAGACTCTAGTGTAGATGACAGGTCAAGAAGTGGTCGCCCTCGGTCTGTTAGGACTCCAGCAGTGATAAAAGCTGTGAAGGCGCGAATTCAAAGAAATCCCAAACGTAAGCAGAAACTGTTGGCCCTTCAGATGGGGTTAAGCAGAACCACNATAACCAAAAGATTCGTTTATCGTACCATCAAACGATACAATGAAGACTCTAGTGTAGATGACAGGTCAAGAAGTGGTCGCCCTCGGTCTGTTAGGACTCCAGCAGTGATAAAAGCTGTGAAGGCGCGAATTCAAAGAAATCCCAAACGTAAGCAGAAACTGTTGGCCCTTCAGATGGGGTTAAGCAGAACCACGATGATTTACCGTAGAAGAGAGCTACAACAAACAAAATGATAAGGTATACGCACACAGTAGTGAAGAAGCGAGCAACTGTATTCCGCGTGTCCAACGAGGTCATTTTCCATCCTCGCTCATGGTATGGTTGGGAGTTTCTTATTGGGGCTTAACAGAGGTACATTTTTATGAGAAAAGTGTAAAAACGAATGCAGTTGTGTATCAAAATACAGTCCTGACGAACCTTGTGGAACCTGTTTCTCATACCATGTTCAATAACAGGCACTGGGTATTCCAACAAGTTCGGCGCCAGCTCATAGAGCGAAGAGCACACAAGACTGGCTGGCGGCGCGTGAAATCGACTTCATCCGGCACGAAGACTGGCCCTCCTCCAGTCCAGATTTGAATCCGTTAGATTACAAGATATGGCAACACTTGGAGGAAAAGGCGTGCTCAAAGCCTCATCCCAATTTGGAGTCACTCAAGACATCCTTGATTAAGGCAGCCGCCGATATTGACATGGACCTCGTTCGTGCTGC